GACGGCCGCGCGCGCGTCGCAGCAGAACGCGAACCGTCCTACAAAGGATGCTGCGTCGCCCGCTAGAATTTGTTCCGGGAACAACCCTGTCGCCCGTAATTGCTCATTAGAGAGCGTTTTGTTTCTCATTAAGGCGACATGAATGAGCGTCTCGCTGACGGAGACAGCTGTAGGAATGTTCCACAAGAGACCTCTGGACACGACTCGGCACCGAGTGCCAATTAGACGCGTCAGTGCCGGAGCCGCGAACAATCGGGACGGACCCCGGGAGGAGGGGGCGGCGCCCCCGGCCGCGCCCCGAGGCCCCCGGTCCGGCCGTGGGTCCGCGGCTCCGGCCTCGCCGCCCTCGGAGGAAAGACCCGCCCCCACAGGTGGCCCGAGGGTCCACGCCCCTCCCCCCGCCACCCCGGGCCGAGCGTCCGGCCGGAGCCGCAGGCGGGCGGGCTCTGAGGGGCTGGCGGGAGGCAGGACGGCGGCCCCGGGGACCCCCGCACGCCGGGCCTGTGGGGCCCGTGGGCCCGTCCGCTGACCCGCCCCGTCCTTCCTCCAGGACCCACGTCCCGCCCCGTCCCCCTGCCTGTCCGCCCGGACAGCGGCCCTGGAGCACCGGCTCCCGTGAAAGCCCGATGGGTGGGCGCTGAGTCCACCACGGAAACAGGGCGCCAGCCTGACCTCTCGCCACCGGCCTGAGGGGCCGCTCCGCCTCCCTCCTGCCCCGACGGAGCTCTCCTCACCGACGGCGCCTGCGTGCGCGTGTGAACGTGCGTGTGTGAACGTGCGTGTGTGAGGGTGTGAGAATATGTGAATGCGAGAATGCGTACGTGAAAGTGCGTGAGAAGGCGTGTGAAAGTGTGTAAATGTGCATGTGACAATCTGAGTGAATGTGAAAATGTGTGGACGTGCGTGTGAGAAACTGCGTGTGACATCGTGTGTATGTGTGCAAATGTGCCTGTGAGAGTGAGTGGATGTGTGTGAAAATGTGGACTGCGTGTGGGAACGCGCATGTGTAAGTGTGAGAGTGTGAAAATGCGTGTGTGACTGTGAGAAGGAACGTGTGCGTGTGAGGCGCGTGTGAAGCGTGCGCGTGCGGACCGCGCGGGGGGGCGGCGGGGCGCCGTGTCGCGTCCTACCCCGAGCGCGGCGGCTCTGACGAGCGGGAGCCAACGTTCCGGAGAGGGCGCGGGCGCCCCTGGAGGGCGGGCGGAGTGCCCCCCGGGCGGGCCGGC